TGATTCTAGTTACTAGGCACGAATGTGGCTGTTCATATTCTGTTTCTTCACCTTCATGCCTCTATAAATGCACTTATATTCCACACTTATCATTTTCACTTCTATTTTTTTCTTCAAAACCAATTTGTTGCCATTGTTTGGCATTTTGACAATCGATCCAAAACCTTCGTCTTCCATGAAAATGGATCATTTGATTCGCCCATTTTGCTATCTTTCTTGATGTTACTTTTGGTATGGGAGATATAGAAAATATTCTTTGGCCAGCAAAGTTCTTCCCATCGTCTCCATGTTCCTTACAAAGAGTTCGATGATAGAAGATAATTTTTTAGGACGTCTGCAAGCCACCTTGCTTATTGAGAGTGCTTCTTAGCCTCCTTACCCATCATTGCAGCGATGCATTTAGGAAGGCGATGTAAGGGCGCTTCTTCTTCCTTTCTGCTTGCTGAGAGTGCTTCTCGGCCTCTCTGCTTGCCTTTGCAGCAGTGCGATCAGGATGGCAATCAAGGCCAGTACACCCTCTTATTCGGCGATCGATCGAGAGATTAGTTTGCTCTTAATTGTAATTTATAGAGCATTTAGTATTTTGTATTTTGCAATTTTGTAATGAATGTTTGATAATAAGGGAATTTATTTGAACGTATTTCGCTCTGGCCCTTTTTACTCTACGATTGTTCAATGCGATTTGATTATGTAACGCCTCGAACTCTTTTTCATTATTATTGTTATTTTTTAAATAAAAATGAGCTCAAGGTACTACCAAAACTTTTCTCTATCTAATTTAGGCGGAAATATATCGAAAATATTTGATTTCAAATTATTAAACAACATAATAAATATCGTGCATAAATATTAATACAAAGATATTCTTTATATAAATTGACTATTGTCTTTTCTAGAAATTTTACTTGAAGACCACATTAGCATCGCTCCGTCAATCTTCCACACGTCCTCACGACCCGTTTTTATCTGAAAATATTGTAAGAGTGAGTATTTTGAAAACACTCAGTAAGAATACGCGCACATCCTTTTTCACATGATATAAATATAAAAATAGCATAACATACCAACATTTCTTAAGAATTTCTTAAGAATCCCCATATCCTGTAGGATTTAACTTCTTTTCTTTGACTTGACGGTCTATCCCGAAGGATTTAACTTCTTCTCTTTGACCTAACGGTCTATCCCGAAGGATTTAACATAGCATTCGACCCGAAGGCCTTAAAGTATCTCATGCCAAAATTTACATATATATCAAGGAATAAGAATTTACCACTTGCACCATGTATTCTTACCTCAATTGACACCAAAGAATTTCTGAAAATGATTTATGAAATAAAATGATATTCCTTCTCAAAAGTATGAGTGTGTGTAGACGTGTGAAATACTAATAATCTGTATGAGTAAAGGAGAATTTGTCACTTCAGTGCTCTCATATCCACTTTTATACGCAGAACATGTGACTATAGAGATTCTAACGTAATTTGATATTAATTAGGTTTCATGTGGGTTAATTACTCTATCACTAATGAGCTTAATAAATTTTAAATTATTAATTTTCAATTTTCGTTTCATTTCCCCAAGTAACCGTATGAATTAAATTGGAAATGAAAGTTTTGTTTTTATTATTTTATTATTATCTATATTAATAAAATATTAAATACTAACACTTTTCTTTTTATTAGAATAACTCGGACATACTAGCTCGAAATTACTTTTTCTTAATTCCAAATTATACTATTTGACAAGAGCTATGAAATGAGTATAATATCGATATATTTTTAATAACTTTTAAAATACTTAAATATTCGATCCAAATAAGTTACGATAAATTAAAAATATACGCTTGCGGAATAAACCATTTATGCAAATAAGTGGGACGTGTTTATCACTTCAACTTTTCGAGTTTAGTGTGACGACAGTGTTGGACACGGATTATTTTATTTGTTAAATTACCAACCCACATGGGAAATTTTAAAATTCGGAGTGTTACATCCTTACCCCCTTAAAATAATTTCGTCCTCGAAATTACCTTATTTAGCCGAATAACTCTAGATACTTGGCTTTTATTTCTTCTTCTTTTTCACAAGTAGCCTCTTCGACTCCATGATTTTTCCATCGAACTTTAACTAATGCAATTTCTTTATTCCTTAATGCATGTGTTTTCCTTTCGACAATCTCCAAAAGAGTCTCTTCATATGTTATATCTTTCTGTACTTCCAATGAGTCATAGATTATCACATGTTCGGGATCATGCACATACTTTCTAAGCATCGACACGTGGAATACATTATGTACAGCTGATAGTCTAGGTGGCAATGCTAGACGGTACGCTACATTCCCAATTCTATCTAGAATTTCAAAAGGACCTATGAATCGAGGTCTCAACTTTCATTTCTTGCCAAATCTAAGAACTCCTTTTATGGGTGCCACTTTTAGAAACACTTTTTCACCGACTTCAAATTCTATCGATTTTCTCCGCTGATCTGTATAGCTCTTTTGTCTATCTTGAGCAGACTTTATTCTATCCCTAATTTTATCAATTACTTGCACTGTCCTTGCAATAATCTCTGGACCCAAAATTCATTTTTCTCCGACTTCATCCCAATGAACTGGGGACCTACATCTTCTACCATAGAGAGCTTCATAAGGAGCCATGCCAATAGTAGTTTGGAAGCTATTATTGTATGCAAACTCCACTAATGATAGATGTGACTCCCAACTACCTCCCAAATCCAAGACACATGCTCGGAGCATGTCTTCTAAGATTTGAATAGTCCTTTCAGACTGTCCATCAGATTGAGGATGGTAGGCAGTGCTGAAATTTAACTTTGTCCCCATAGCTCCCTGTATGCTCTTCCAAAATTTAGAAGTAAATCTTGGGTCTCGATCTGAGACGATGGATGTTGGAATTCCATGCAGCCTGACAATTTCCTTAACATATAATTGAGCAAATTGATCCATACTATAGTTCATTCTTATTGGAAGGAAATGAGCAGACTTTGTCAACCTGTCTACAATTACCCAGATGGCATCGTGTCCTTTCATTGATTTTGGAAAACCTACTACAAAATCCATGGCTATTTGCTCCCATTTCCACTCTGGAATTTCTAATGGATTTAATGGTTTTGATGTTCTGCTTTAACTTGCTGACATACAATACACTTTTCAACAAAGAGACCAATCTCCCTTTTCATATTCCGCCACCAAAAGGTATCGCGGAGGTCTCGATACATTTTAGTACCATCGGGATGTGCAGCATATGAGGCATAGTGAGCTTCCTCTAATATTTCTTTTCTTATCCCTTCATCCCTTGGTACACATAATCTTCCCTCGAACATCAAAGCATTGTCCTCCGCTATTACAAAACCTTTTCTCTTAGTCGTACCAACTTCCGTCTTGATTTTTCTCAAGAATGGATCATTGTTTTGAGCATCCTTGATTCGTTCCCGAAGGGTAGGTTGTATCTTAAATGCTGAAATTTTTGCAGTTACTTGAGTTGGTGGAATGACAACTTTCAATTTCAATTTATCAAACTCCTTTATCAACTGTACTTGATCTGTGGGTAAAGCTGCTAGTTGTCCTACTGTCTTCCTACTAAGGGCATCTACGACTATATTAGCTTTACCTGGATGATAATAAATAGTGCAATCATAATCTTTAACTAACTCTAGCCACCTTCTCTGTCTCATATTCAACTCCTTTTGAGTGAAAAAGTATTTCAAACTCTTATGATCTGTATAGATTTCGCACTTTTCCCCGTAAAGGTAGTGACGCCATATCTTTAGAGTGTGTACTACCGCTGCCAACTCTAGATCATGTGTGGGGTAGTTTTGCTCATGTTGCTTTAATTGTCTAGAGGCATATGCGATTACCTTCCCAAACTGCATCAGTACACATCCCAAACCTTGTTTGGATGCATCACTATATATAACGAATCCATCTGAACCCTCTGGTATAGCTAAAACTGGAGTTGTAACCAGTTTCTGTTTCAGTTCTTGGAAGCTCTCCTCACATTTCTTAGTCCACTGAAATTTTACACCCTATTCTTGTTAATTGGGTCATTGGCCCGGCTATTTTGGAGAATCCCTCAATGAATCTCCGATAATAACCGGCTAGTCCCAAGAAACTACGAACTTCGCCTACATTTGTTGGTTGGGACCAGTTTGTTACCGCTTCAACTTTACTAGGGTCCACTTCAATTCCTTGTGCTGTAAACACATGACCAAGAAAAACTATATGATCAAGCCAAAATTCACATTTCTTGAACTTGGCATACAACTTCTCCCTTCGTAGTGTCTCCAACACTATTTTGAGTTGTTCTTCATGTTGGTCCTTATTCCTTGAATACACCAAAATGTCATCAATGAAGACAATGACAAATTGATCTAAATACTGGTGGAATACCCTATTCATTAAATCCATAAATACTACAAGGGCATTTGTTAATCCAAAGGGCATTACCGTAAACTCATAATGACCATAGCGAGTTCTAAATGCTGTCTTTGGAATGTCATTTGCCTTCACCTTCAACTGATGATAGCCCGACCTCAAATCAATTTTGGAAAATACTATTGCACCCTTCAACTGATTAAAGAGATCTTCGATCCGAGGAAGAGGATATTTGTTCTTGATTGTCAATCGATTCAGTTCCCTGTAATCAATACATAATCTCATTGACCCATCCTTCTTCTTCACAAACAAAACCGGTGCCCCCCAAGGAGACGTACTTGGTTGGATGAAACCTTTATCCAACAACTCCTGCAACTGTATCTTTAATTCTTGTAGTTCCTTTGGCGCCATCCGATATGGAGCTCTAGACACTAGAGTTGCACCAGGTACGAGGTCAATTGTAAACTCCAATTGCCTATGTGGTGGCGCGCCAGGTAAGTCATCAGGAAATACATCTATGAAATCTCGTACAATCGGCACATTACAAATCGTAAGCTCCGATTGTTGAGTTCCATGTATACTCACTAGAAATCCTTGACATGATCTTTTCTTTACATCTTTTCTGCTTTCATGGCCGACACGATTCGCGGTAAAGACTTAACTTGTACTGCGAAAAATCGAAATTCATCCTCCCCAGGCCTCTGAAAAAATACTTCCTTTTCAAAACATCGAATGGTTGCGTGATTGCTTCCCAACCAGTCCATTCCTAGAATAACGTCAAAGTCTTTCATGTCTAGGAGGTGTAGATCAGCTACAAATTCTTTTCCTTCCATTACTAATTTTACCGCCCTAGCGATCTGATTGGTATTCAAAATTCTACCAGATGGAATAGAAATTTCTAGAACACTATCAGATTTTTCACATGCAGTACGTGATTTAGCAATAAATGCGGTGGAGATAAATGAATGAGTAGCTCCGGAGTCTATAAGAACATATGCAGGTAGTTCAGATATTGATAAAATACCTGCCATTACATTTGGATCCTCTGTTGCCTCTTCCCGAGTTAAAGCAAAGACTTTGACTTTCACTTTCCTTCCCTGTTCATTATCCTTCTTAGGTGGGTATGCCTTGCAATCCGAAGCAAAATGACCTTCTTGGCCACATCGATAGCATACATTTTTCCCAAACCAGCACTCCCCTCCATGGGCCTTATTGCACTTTGGGCATCGTGGAGTAACTTTATTTGGTTTACTTGACCCTGATCCTGATCCTATATTGGACTTCTTAAATTGTCCAAATCCCTTCCCTTTATTCTATCCATTCCACTTTCGTTTCCCATATGACTCATTATTCTTCTCAGTCATCCGATCCATTTCTAGACGATCAGAAATTGACTGCGCTCGTTGAAGCACTTCACTATATGTGGTCGTATGGTGAGATGCCATGATTCCTCCAATCTTTGGACGCAGGCCTAATTCGAACCTCCTAGCCTTCTTAGGAACATTGGACAACACAGTAGCTCAAACGAAATTATTATTATTATTATTATTTTTTATTTCCAATATCATAAAGGAAAAGATATCACAGTACTAAGGAAATGGAATCTAAATTTCTAATCCCTATAAATTCTGCGAATCTTCTTTAACGGAGCTTCATCTTCAGAGGAGTCTTCTGCTTTAGGTCCGGACTCTACGTCTATCTCAACGAGTGGCTCAAGTTCATGCTCATGATCGTTCTCTAACTCCAGCCTAAAGTCATCCTCTTGTTCCCATTCGGGATCTTCCTCTGGGTTTGACTCAATTTGAGGTTCTGGCTCATCATCGAGCTCGTTCCCTACCTCCAGTTGGCGTTCTAAACTTTCACTCCACCTATCTAGAAGGGTCTGACAATATACATCAAACTCAATCGTGTTTGGATGCTCTGGGGGGTTACCTTCTAACATCTCATTCCTAACCATAACTCCCATGTCTCCCCATTGAGGTGGAAGTGAGTGTACGAGATTATTCACAGCCTCAATATGAGTGATCTCTAGTCCTGCCTCCACAGATGCCATACATTTTTCATAGATGTCTTGCACGTGTTCAACAAGTGGACGAGTCGGGTCAGTCACGAAATTCTCATAAGACTGAATGATGGACCTACGGTTCAACGCTGCTCTATAAGTCGTGGCCTTTCTAGTGGTTTGATAAATTCTAACCATTGTCTGTAACACAAGGTTCCAATTATATTTATTTTTGTAGTAATATCAAAGTACATGTTATGCTCTTGTGATTTTAATAGGAATTTTTTTTTATCAGTATACCTTCATGTATAATAGCATGCATAACATATTTCTTTCTAGACGTTCATTTATAATCATTTCATAGAATTCAAGCTTAAATGATACATAAAGTCATGCTTGAAAATAAAATGAAACTTAATATTTTCTTCATACCTTGAGTCTGTCGGACGGTAGTAGATTGACAAGTGCTAATGTCATGGGTCTTATTTTAAATACTTGTTTAGTGAGAATTTTCATACGGAAGTAAATATATAAACAAGTAGACATGTACTCACCATAAGTAGAAATCATTTTCTTAACAAGTTATATTGAAACTATTAGAGTAAAATTATTTCATCTACTTTAGAAATTAATCACCTTTTTTTTTATATACCAAAAATCTGTAATAATTAAACAATGAGCACATATTTTATCCACTTCCTAAATCTGAAGGGGAAGAAAAAAATTCAAAATTCTGTGTTTATCTAGTTGGAGAATTAGAAGCAATATTAAAAAAAAAGTCAAACTTTAAATAACCATTTTCCTGGGTCCAGTTAAAACAGAAGGCGATTCCAACATGGAGAAAAAGTCAACCCAATTGGAGATGAGACAGATTGCAAAAAATCATGTTACAACTCTTTTGCACAATTGCAAGCTGAATAAAATCGGATAGTGATCAAATACAATTCAATTATAAATATTTGTAATACCAGTTCATGAAAGAAAAAAAAAAATTAGCGTCCCTAAAGGCACCGAAGTACACTAATAAAGGTAACTGCAGGAGAGAAATTACTTTTATTAACCCTGAAATTTAAATTTTTTTTTTTATATCAATAATTAAAACATTATGAGAAAATAAATATTTCAACAACCTATTTAACGTAAATTCAAGTACGGGCAATTCGGTCATATACATGCTAGCACATAAATCACATTTGCACATGCTGAAAAAAATATATATATATACTTTTTTTTTTAAATGACGAGTCTACATAATCGTCTAAACTCGTGCTCTGATACCATTCTGTAACGCCTCGAACTCTTTTTCATTATTATTGTTATGTTCAAATAAAAAATGAGCTCAAGGTGCTACCAAAACTTTTCTCTATCTAATTTAGGCGGAAACATATCGAAAATATTTGATTTCAAATTGTTAAACAACATAATAAATATCGTGCATAAATATTAACAAAAAGATATTCTTTATATAAATTGACTATTGTCTTTTCTAAAAATTTTACTTGACGACCACATTAGCGTCGCTCCGTCAATCTTCCACACGTCCTCACGACCCGTTCTTATCTGAAAATATTGTAAGAGTGAGTATTTTGAAAACACTCAGTAAGAATACATGGTGCAAGTGGTAAATTCTTATTCCGTGATATATATGTAAATTTTGGCGTGAGATACTTTAAGGCCTTCGGGTCGAATGCTATGTTAAATCCTTCGGGATAGACCGTTAGGTCAAATAGAAGAAGTTAAATCCTTCGGGATAGACCGTCAGGTCAAAGAAAAGAAATTAAATCCTACGGGATATAGGGATTCTTAAGAAATTCCTAAGAAATGTTGGTATGTTATGCTATTTTTATATTTATATCATGTGAAAAAGGATGTGTATCTCCTTTAATTAATTTACAGTTTTGATTATATCATATGACTACTGTTTTCCAAACCAATTCGTTCAGGCTAAACGATTTGGCTATAACTTTTTTATTATAAAATTTAGCCATTCTTCGTTTTTGAACTTGCAATCTATCTAGAACGTCCAACTTTAATTCGCCCAACTCCAATAAGTTTTGAACTAGTGATTCGGTATACTCATCACCAATTAACTTATGTTGTAAACACACTCTGATCGACTGCACATTGATTTCCATAGGCAAAATGACCTCTTGTCCATAAGTAAGTTGGAAAGGAGTAATTTTTGTACTTGATCGAGGCGACGTCCTATAAGCCCATAAGGCCTTGTTTAGACATTCGTGCCAATTTCTGGCATTTTCATCTATCATTTTCCTTATGATATTTTTTAGAATCTTATTAGAAGATTCTGCTTGCCCGTTGGATTGAGCGTAATATGGTGTGGAGTTCACTAATTTAACTCCAAACTCGCTTAAGAATTTATTCACTTGATCCCCATTTAAAGATGTTCCGTGATCTACCATCAAAGTTTGTGGAATTCCAAATCTATAAATGATGTGGTCACGGATAAATTCTATGACATTCTTTTGAGTGATCTCCTTTAAAGGTATCGCTTCTACCCACTTAGTGAAATAATCAATTGCAACTATAACAAAGGTATGTTGCTTGGACGATGGGAGATAAATCTTCCCTATCAAGTCTATCGTCCAACCCTTAAACGGCCAAAGTTTGATAATAGGTGCCATCTCTCGTGCTGGCGCCCTTTGTATTGGACCATGCTTTTGGCATGCTAGACAACTCTTTACATACTGAATGCATGATTCTCCCATCTTTGGCCAAAAATACCCATTCCTAATAATTAACTATCTCATCCTTTGGCCAGCTTGATGAGCTCCACATATTCCTTTGTGCACTTCAGCCATGATCGTCTTGGCTTCTTGCAAACTTACACATTTTAGCAATGTACTATCAGAGCGTTTCTTAAACAACTCTTCATCTATCAGTGTATAGTTTAGTAAATGCAACTTCATTCTCTATCTCATTTATTAGGTTCTTTAAGGAACTCTTTGATCTCTGCCCTCCAATCTATTGCATCTCCATCTTCTATGCAATGAATTTCAATCGTTCTCGCCCTTCTTTGGATCACAGGCAATATTGTTCCATACTCACAAGTAGACTTCCAATTTAAAACCTTTGAGTACCCTGAGGCCACCTGGGCCAATTCGTTTGCTACATCATTATATATCCTATTAATACATTGAAACTCTATTTGGTCGAATTCTTCCAATAACTCTTTGGCGATTTCATATTGACTTATAATCGAATCACTTTGGTATTTAAAATCACCAATCAATTGGTGAATTACCAATTGAGAATCGCCTCTAACAATCACATTCTTTATCCCCATATCTATCATTAATTCTAGGCCCACGATTAAGGCTTCGTATTCGGCCTGATTGTTGGTGCACATTCTGTCCAAAGTGAATGGGAACTTGTAACAAATTCTTAAAGGATTTATCAATACTACCCCTACTTCTGCACCTTTAGAGGTTTTCGATCCATCGAAATATAAAACCCAAGGTTTTAATTCAAATAAAATGATCTCTAAATCAATTTCTTCAGGCATATCAAGGCATGGATGATCAGCCAGAAAATTAGCCAAAGCCTGATTTTTGACTGCCTTTTGGGGTATGTATTGTACTTCAAATTCTAATAAGGCTAATGCCCAAAGGCCTACCCTTTGGTGCAAAATAGGGCGAGAGAACATATACTTAACCAAATTTACTTTAGAAACTAATTAAACGGTTACGAGCCGTAGTTAAGCCCTTAATTTTGTACATGTGAAATACAATGCAAGACATAATTTTTCAATGGTAGAATAATTATATTCACATTTTGTTAATCGTCTACTCAAGTAGTAAATCGCCCTTTCTTCACCAAATTGGTCTTCCTGCCCAACCATTCCAGCTATTGATTCTTCTTCAGCTGATACATACACTTTTATTGGCCGTCCTTGAATTGGTGACACCAACACTGGTGGATTTGATAAATATGTCTTTAGTCTTTCAAAAGCCTTTTGATGCTTTTCTTTTAAGATGAATTCGTCCTAATTTTTTAACTTTAAAAGCGGCGAAAAAGCTTTAGTTTGCCCTGTACAGTTAGAAATAAAGCGTCTTAAAAAGTTTACTTGGCCTAGAAACCTTTGCATTTCTTTTTTATTGCTAGGTGGTTTGGCCTCTAAAATGACCTTCGCTTTATTTTTATCAAGTTCAATTCCCCTTTTGTGTACTAAGAAACCAAAAAAA